TAAATGGTAGAAGGAAACAACCTAACATTGTAAATATGAAAAACTAAATATAGATTTAGAAAAGTAGTGAACATAGAATAATAAAATATTTATGTTAGAGTGATGGGAAAAGATTGCATTTTTGTTTTTTATTTAATGTGACTTTAATATTGTTACATCATTATTTTACTGATAGTTAAAGCTGAGTGGGAGATGGAAGCACTGTATAGGGGTCAGGAAAGGAGAGATAGAGACCTGCCAAGGGATGTGGAAGGATGGAGGGTCTTCTCTGTAGGGAGAGTCGGTAGCTTTGAGTCATGATTGAGGGGGACAGCAGGATTTGGTTAGAAACTAGGGGCTAAAACAGAAGGGATATCATTGACGCACACCCTTCCCCCCCCAAAGGAATGGATAATTTTTATTAGATCCTTAGGTTGAATTTTCTAAAAGAAGAGCCCCAGATAGTTCGTGCATGTTGTTAGTTGAGGAATTTTGAAAGTAGGCAACATTATCAGAAAGAAAGCTAATTGCAATTGCTGAGTGGGCTAGTTTTCCACAAATGATGGAAAATGCTACTATTGAGGGCAGTCTATGTTTTATAGAATGTTGATTGGGATAAAATACTACATAACTAGAAAAATGGGAGTTTGGAAGTAGCCATTTCTCTAGCTGTTAGAACACAGCGAGAAAAAGGTCCACTTACCAACTGCAGAGGGCTGAGTCTTCCAGACTTGATTAGACCTGTGAGGAGGACTTCCAGGAGGGCAAATCATAAGCTTAGTGCTTAAGTCAGAGTGGGTGTTCTAGAAGTGGTTTTCAGTGTGGGTATCGGGGGAAGACAGTTGAGCATAAATTACTGCAGAGTTTGAGCTTTAGAAGAGAGGTAAGGAAACCACTCGGTGGCGATGCGCAGTGAGTCATCCTGGGGATCACCAGGTGGCGCTTGGTCCTTTAGGGGAGGCATGGTAGTACCAAGAGTCAGGTGTTTGTAAGAGATCATGCCACTCGCAAAGCCCTAGTGAGGGCACATGGGAGAATCCAGTAATGCAGCTACCCTAGGTGGCTCTTCAGGGGTGCCAGAAAATATCAGCTCAGCGTTTGCATTTGTGGCCTTGCCTGTGACGGTGGCTAAGCTTGTGGAGGTACATGTTCCTGTTGGTTCTGATGAACAAGAAAATAACTTTTCTGTCTTGGAAAATAAGAGAATCTGACCTGAAAGATCACAAACACACGCACACATAGGATAATATACTTTGGATGCCTAGGTTGAAATTTTTTAAGGAAGAGCTCCAGATATTTCCTTGCATGTTAATTGAGGAATTTTGAAAGGAGTTTCGAAAGGAATCGGAAAGCTAATTACAGTTGCTGAGTGGGCTAGTTTTCTACAACTGATGGAAAAGCCTCTGTCGAAAGCAGTTTACATTTTACAGAATGTTGATTGGGATTAAATCTGAGCCACACCCTTTACAAACACAAAAGACTAATTAATGAAGGGGAAACTCAGCTTCGAATACTCTGAATATTTGGTAAAATAAATTGATGCGGGGTGACTTTATGTAATTTCTACATCAGTTTAATGCAGGAGTATATCTTAAATCATAAATCATTTGTTAGAATTTCTGCAATTATTGTTTTGTACAATAAGGTAAAGAGTTGCTAATCTAGAAAAGTGACTGTATAAAAATTATGGGCTAACAGTTCATACTGATTTTTTAAACTTAATATACCCAAATTTACCTGTCGATCATAGTCATATAATAGTAGTCATGGCACTTCCTTTCCTGCATGTGAGCCCTCCTCAACATGTTCCTTCCATAAAGAGCAGTTGAGGAGGCCACCTGAAGAACTGAACAAGCTGACATCACATAGCGTCTCCCAATCTTTAACCTGGAACCTGTGTATTAGGCTCTAAAACACAAACCAGAGGCTATTCCCTGGTCTGGTATAAAACATAAACCAGCCAAATAATCTCATTTTGTAACAAGCTTACATACACTTAAGAACAAGTGGGCCATGACAGATCTGGGGGGGAGGGGTGTTTTTCGATTCAAAAATCTAACTGAAATTATCTAACCTTTGCTCAAGTTGATGATAGCAAGTGTCTTCAAGAAGTGTTCCCTGTCCTGAAGCAAAAGGTACAATATTTGTAATGAATAATATGCCAAGGACTTGGGTGAAGCTATTTCTCGTAATGTCATCCAAGCGCAGGGAACAGCAGCTGTAAAAGAAACAGAGCTGTTCCTGTATCAGAAGTATTTCACTTCTGGGTGGTACGTTTTATTAAAAAATAAACATCTCTGAAAACAGATAAAGGAAAATAACCATCTCTGTCCCATAAATGGTTAAATGGGTTTCCATAAGACCGGGTACACTCGTCCCCATTAGACTACAAGCTGATTTTATCGACCACTATATCCCTAGTTCTTAACACTATACCTTACACATAGTAGGCCCTCAAAAAAGCTTTCAACTGCTAAATAGACCAAAGGAGGCTTTAATCGATGGGAGAAGCTGTTAGAATTTGATTTGATACTGCTTTACGTGGAATACTGGGGTACCCAGTGTGTTTTTAGCAGACTTCACTGCTGCCTGAGATTGTGTTTGACAGACAGAAGTCTGGGTGAATGGAAATGTGTTGGAAGCACCTTACCAACAGGGACACTTGACCTTTCCACAAATGTGGCATTTCTGTGCTCGTCGGGGATTGCTACCAGCTATGTTCACCTACACCTACCTGCTTAGGCAGCCTGCAGTGAACTTCCAGATTAGTCCAACCTGGTCACCTTCTTTCTATGGAAGAAAATGGTTCAGCTGCATTACTCTCCGTGCCAAGTAAACTTTTTTTTTTTTTTTTAGTTAGATTTCAGTCCAGGAGGTAGTCTTTATAATGCCTGTAGATAAATGCATCCCCTTAAAATTAGGTCACACAAAATGCCAGCACCGCAGAATTTATTATCTCTCTCTTGCCCTCCAAGCAAAATCCTAAAACCTCAGGTGCCATTGGGGAAAACATTTATTGCCATAAGGACCTTCTAGATCTAAGAAGAGTAAGATCTTGCTTCCTTTTGTCTGAGTTCTCAATTTGTCCTTAGAAGTCAAGGTGAGACATCTGAGGTCACAGAGGGTAGGCACTCTCCTTATCTCAGCAGAGTTTGCGTTGGATCCCCTCCTTCGCCTTTAGGTCTATATTTCCATGGCCCTAGTAGTTTCCATCTCCCTAAATTAAATTAAAAATATCATCAGTGATTGGAAAGCTCTCTTTCTTCGTTGCATCTGTTTACTTTACCTTCCATGATTGTTGGTAAGGGTAGAAATTCCCAAAAGCCAATTTTTTTTTTTTTTTGAAAAGACAAAAGAGAGTAGCCCACCTGCTGTCTAGGATTTGGCCCCAGTCCATCTTCCATCCCAGGCAGTTTGCCTGAAATGGGAGGAGTACCTTATTCAGGTCAGCCTGGGGGACGTGGCGTGGGGTTGGAGTCAGAAGGAAAACAGAGGACCCCTTTGTGAAGGGCAGGGCCAGGGCTCCCGGTATCCTCACCAGAGGCCTCCGGTTTTGCTCTCGCTCCCTGGAACCCACGGTACAGCTGTCACTCACAGCGCGCTCATGTTCCCGCACATCCTCTGGCGGGGGCCGCACCAGGGGGAGGGCGAGAGCGTGCCAAACAGCCTAGACAGCCGCCCAGAGGGAATTACACTGGGATTTTGTGTTGTGTTTTGTATTTTGGCAGAGAAGTGTTGAGAGACACTATTTGCTTCCACCCTGTCATTAGTGGGTGGGTAATAGCGATATAAAATAAAGAGATGAATTAGGATAATAAGAGGCAAAGAAGAAAGGAGTAAATTTTCCACAAGTAATATTTTTCTCTTCATGGTTATTTAACTTTGAGACAGAACTTGAAAGTAGTAATCACAACTGTGTAGTAGACAAAGGACAGAATGTGAGAACCAGACAGGAAGGTGTGATTGCCTTTATTGCGTTAACTAGAAACACACCGAAACATGTACTGTTTTCAGGAATACAGTGCTGTGTCCACTGTAGAAAGGCAAAGAAAAGTCACAGGTGGCCTGCTCTGCTGGCGCCTTTTTTTTTTCTTTTTCATTTTTCTCTCTCTCTCTATCTGTCTGTCTGTCTTTAGCTAATGTGCATGTATCCCTGTGACAGTGTCTCGGCATCTTTTGCTTTCCTGTGTTTTCTTTAGCAGTTTTTCAGTCATCTTATGATGTGGACATGGAATGAAGCAACACTGAGTGGGATGGTGAAAGGCACAGAAAAACCTTTCGTAGGGTGTTCACTTGTTTTCACCTGTCTCACAACAGCTGTCTTCAGTGCTGCATCCCAAAAATAAACAAAGGAGACTTACTGATTCATTCATTGATTGAACCAAGATGTAAGGAGTGCCTACAGCTTGCCAGACCCTCAGGCCCTGGGGATATGGTGATGAGCAGAATAGACCATCAGATGTCGCTGCCCCCGTGGCGCTTCCACTCCAGAGGGGCACGGACACCAAACAGATCAGCGCGTTCGCCAGTTGTTGTAAATGTTATGAATAAAAATACGTGTGAGGAGTATAAAGGAGAATTTGTTTCTTCTGGGGAAGCAAAGGCCTCTCTGAGGAATTACATGGGAAGCTATGGGAGCATTTTTAAGGTTGGGAGAGGAGAGGATGACATCACCATATTTACCTTTGAAGATTTATAGAGGTGGAATTGGAGAGGCCCCAGAATTTTTTTAAAAAGTGAATCTGCACTTAAAGAAGTGGCAGAAGTGAATCAAAAGATCCCTTTGCGTCCTCAGAATAGCTCCTTAAATACTTTCATTACACTCTGGTTTGAAAATAATAATGAATATATTTTTCACCAGTGGATCGTCTTCTGAGGGTCTGAGTAAACTTTTGCCTTCAAGTGTTCTGTTAGCTCCCTTATAGCACTGTCGCTGCTGTTAAAGAAGACATTCAGTGACATTTTGTCATTCGTATACACATGTAATTTTGGTCTCATGTTGTTTCTCCCTGTTTGTTCAGCTCCGACAGAACCTTTATTGTGCAAGTTTGCAGATGGAGGACAGAAGAAGAGACAGAACCCAAACAAATACATCCCCAATGGCAGACCCTGGCATAGAGAAGGAGAGGTGAGACTTGTAAGTTCTTTCTTGAAACTTTAGTGCGGGTGTCTGATTGGGAAAGCCTTTGTGACTCGTTACTCAAGCATCATCTGAATTTGGCCACCACACTTCTGGAATAGGTGCCAGAATTATAACTTTACAATCCAGATAATGTCAGATTAAAACACTTCCCAGTGGATACGGTGCTAAGAGAGTGACAATTCGCCAGATGGCCAGATAGATGGTGGAAACAGCTATGTTTACCAGTTAGCTACACATAAGTAAAAGAGCACTTCAGATGCCATGAATTCTTAGGGAGGTTTACATTTATAATTATTCAGAAATCATTCTAAATAACATTATTAAAAGGCATCATATATTTGCCATTGAGGGGTTTTTTTGTTTATTTTTTGCCTAATTCTTTTGAATAATGTTCTTTTATTTTTTAACCAAAAAAGAAAGCTTAGTTTCTTAATAAAAATGGTGGCCCTCCATTTCCCCATGTTTATTTTCAATGAATTGTTTGCTTGCTTTTTTTAAAGCAACGTACTGATTCAAGAACGTCTAGGGGAGTGCCATTTGGTAGAAATGTTCTGGAATATAACCTATGATAATCACTAGGCATGAGTGGCTATTTGAACACTTGAAATGTAGCTTGGATGCTGGAGGGACACAATTTTTAATTTAATTTTAAATAACTGAATGTGGTTACTATGTGGGACAGTGCAGATCGAGAGCTTAATTCTCCTGTTGAGTTCATAACTATGTCTAACAGAAACTCCTCATTTTATCAAATGCTACTAAACCATCACTGTTTCAAGTTGCCATGACTCTTAAGAAACGGAATTTTTTAATCGTGCCTTCGCAGATGTTTCTCTTTCTTTTCATTCCCATAGGCCGGAATGACACTTACTTACGACCCAGCCACAGCTGCTATACAGAACGGGTATGTCATTAAGATAAATACGTAACAGCTTGAGGGAAAATGTGAAGGCGGAAAGCTATAAGACGTTTGTTCCGTGAAATATTCTACTTAAAGGACTACTTAATAAAGGCTTTTGTGTTTGTTCTAGATTTTACCCTTCACCATACAGTATTGCTGCAAACCGAATGATCACTCAGACTTCTATTGCCCCCTATCTTGCATCTCCTGTATCTGCCTACCAGGTTGGTACCGTCAGGGTTCCTCAAGAGTTCGACAGCTTGCTACCTTTTTGTGTGTCTCAAGATTTTGAACATTTGTGCTGCAATTTAAGTCAAATGTTATGCAGCTTGGATACCCAATTTAGAATAAGCTGCCTTTTTGACAGAGTGGTTTACTTTTTATGTATCAGAGAATGTAAAACAGGGGAAAATGGTTGTCAGTCCTTGAAATCATAGCACTTTAGCATAGGGATGAACCCCAGTATTTCCTCCAGCTGAACCCCGCTGTTCGACACCACGTGTCCTAGAAAGTGAGACTTGAAGAGAATTGCCATCAGGTGAAATACAGAATAGGGGTGCACACTTGCCTTTGTTTTTTCGTCAACAGGACCTAACAAAAGAGCAAGTAAACATGCTAATAAATAAAGATGTGTCTCTATTAGGCAACATTAAGTGAGCAATACAGTGAGATTTTGGGGGAGGGGGGAACCACACCAAAAAACAAAAAGGTCACTCCATGTTTAGGTTGTTTTTGTGAGGAAGCTTATCTTAAATTACCAACTTAGAGCCAAGATCTCATTAAGCACCTTGTTATAATACTGACTTGGTTTTATTTCAGGGTTAGCTCCTGTTCCTCAGGAACCCAGTGTGTGCATACATTTCTCTTCAGCAGAGTACCTCTAACAGGGTTGCTGCATTGGCCCAGACAGGAACATTGTAATGGTGTTTTATTACAGACGTAGGAATAGAGTTCTCTTTTGTTGACTGTTGAGATCCTGTGTGACAAAACTAAACTCTTGTGTATTCTTGTTTTTAAAACTATTGAATTAGATCTTGTAGCACTGATTTCTGGGGTTAGGGGGTTGCAATATCTAATAACTGTGTTTATTTTGCTTTTGTAAGCCTCAGTTTCCTCATCTTTAAAATGGGGATAATAATAGTTTCTATCTCATAGGCTTGTTATAAGAACTAAATGAGACTATGTATAGAGCTTAGCACAGTATCCTGGCATATCATTAGCACTCAATAAATGTTAGTTGGGATTATTATCATCATTACTGTGCAGGATTAGCTGTTTGATGAGAATATATTCAATATACTTTTTTAAAAATAATGGATTGGTCAACATAAGCAATATCATAAAGATGGTTCTGTTTAAAAACATAAAAGTAGCTTTGAATAACAAAGGGTAGTGATCAAGTGCACTAAAACTGACGTTTTAAAATAGCATTCATAGTCTCCCTCAGCTTTCAGGTTCTTTTCTCCTCCTTTCCCTGAATTGTCTCTTATTTTTTCTTTTATCTCTCCAGGTTGTTATGTTACTTATACTGGTGTTTCAATCTGCTGGACATAGTATTTACTCATTTAATGCCTCTCTAATTATTTTGGACTTAAGATTTCCATATTTCCTTTGCCTGTGTAAAACTCAGATCTGCTTTAGTGCATTTTCCCTAATTAACAATTCCCTGATATTAACAATTCTGATATTGAAAGGTAGTCTTCTTTCTTAACTATCTGAGCTTGGAACTCTATGCTATATATGGATATCACTAAAAATAGGTACAAGTAAGCTTATTCTCAGGCAAACGAAAGATTGTGCATATTAATTGGAATGTATGCTGCTGTACATATTTTATAACTACTAATGCATCTCCCCACCACCTCTTTTCTATAAAAGCAATGAACATTTTGGCCACAGAACTGTTTCATATAGTTAAAAAAATCAGACTAGTGTTGGTAATAAACTTGGTATGCCTAACTAGAAATAACATTTCACTTCAAAGGCCCTGATTTTTTTCTCCTAGGCATTCTGTGTTTCCCCCTAAGATACGTGTGGAAATTTTTCCATTTGCCTTATACTCCGTGCCATAACATCAAAGACTGATTCTTAACCCCAAAAGTTCAGGGTCAGCAGATGAGCTTTTAAGTGGTCTTTCTGTGATTCCCTTAAATTGTTTGCAAAATGTTGCTTGTCGGTGTGTGCAGTTAGTTGGGGGGAAAAGTTCTGTTTCTTTCATCAGGTCTTCAGTGGGCTCCATGACCCAAACAAGGGTAAGGAATCAATGGTAAAAAAAAATCATAGAACATAGATTATTATTCCCATTTTATAGTTAGGGAAAAATGAGGACTAGTTTTCTTAAGCAGTTGGTTTGCTGCTTAAGAAAGAAAATTGGATTAGATATCATAGCTCCCTAACCCCCATAATGCTATATTAGATTATTAAAACACTGAAGCATACAAAAAAGTGGGAGCATCTGGCCCAAATTGGGGTCTCTAGGGAGCTGCTCGCCTCTCCATGATTTATTCAGTGAAGGCCTTGTACTCATGTTGGAGTGGGCCTTTCTCCGCTAAACCACCATATGCTTATACAATTGGATTTGAGAAATTGGCATCTGCAAGAAACCACCAATACCCCAATGGGGAAAGGCTGCAGTCCAGATAACTGAAATGTTAACAAGGCAGAAGCACTTAACTTTGGTCTGCCTTAGGTGGCAAAGGAAACCAGAGAAAACAAGTATCGGGGCTCTGCTATCAAGGTAAATCATAATACATTCTTCCCCCATGACTCTCCCCCATATCCTCTCTATAGAACCTTTGAAGTTAACAGTAGGGGATAAGACACAGGAGGGTTTTGCTGTTTAGAATTAGAAACTGAAACTTGTTCTAAAAATTACATAGTTTGAGGAAAGTGCTGGGCATCAAGAAATGGACTGTTTTTTTGTGTTTTTTTTTTCTCTTGAATGGCACACTTGTCTTTCCTGCCACAGAATCTGACTCTCACATCTTATTTCTCAGTCCAGAGGGTCTACTGTGTGGATGCCCTATTGACTGTAGATATCAAGATCTAGCTGTTGAAGTTTAATTTTCTAAATCTGAATTTCAGATTTTTATTTTCCACACTGGCTAGAAATTGTTGACCACCAAACAAAATTTCTAAAACCTAATGAATGTCCTGGGTATCAGAGAGGGATTAAATTTTATTATTCTTTTTAAATAAGCACATACTTTAAGGATTAGTTTCTGATAAGATGTGCTGGAATTAATTCTCATTCATCTGTATTCTTGAAGCATCTAGTTCATACCTTGATGATAACACATTTCACATTGATTGGCTTTGCTTATTTATTTATGTCCCTTGCTGAGACCATAAATTTCTTGAGGGTGGGCCCCATGTCTCATTCACCTTTTTCTCTTTGGTGCCTGATACTCCGTAAATATTTCTTAAAAGTGGGCAAATGGAATTTTGTTTTAAATAATCATTTCATCCTATTCAGAGTGACCAGTTTGCCAAGAACTCTACCTGCCTTAATAATCTTTATAATCATTGATAGTATTGTTTCCTTATTTTCCTTCTGTAGATTTTAACATGATTAAAAAAGTTCTAGAGAAATACGTAGCATTCCAATGGAAATCAATGTTTTTTTTGAAATCCTCCCTTTTCCAGGTGCAAAGTCCTTCTTGGATGCAACCTCAACCATATATCCTACAGCACCCTGTAAGTTTTCATTGTAATGGCTTTCTGCTTTGCAAGTAAACCATATATATGTTAAAAAAGTATTCTCTGGGTTAAAACCATGTGCCAAAGATGGTATAGGATTTGGGAAATTTTAAGCATATAATATGTAAACGTACAAGTTCATTATAACACTTTCACTCACCTTTGTCTTAAAACAAATTGGTAATTGATAAGTTAAATTTGCAATCTGTCAGAACTTAAAACATATCATATTGGAGATGGGGCACCATTTTCTTCCTCATTACAGTTCTGTAGGAGATCATTAAATTGAGTGTGTTTTGTTTTGTTTTTAATACTCACCTGAGGATATCTTTTCCATTGTTTCTCAGAGAGAGTGGAAGGGAGAGAGAGAGAAAAACATTGATGTGAGAGAGACACGCAGATTGGTTGCCTCCCGCATATGCCCCAACCAGGGTCAGGGATCGAGCCTGCAACCAAAGTACATGGCCTTGACCGGAATCAAACCCAAGACCCTTCAGTCCAAGGGCCGATGCTCTAACCACTGAGCAAAACCAGCTAGAGCATTGAGTGTTTTACTTTTTAAATTTTTTAAATTGTAAGGTTTTTTAAAAATTGCTAATATTTAACAGTACTTGGGATGAAACCTCTCATTTTTTACATTCTCTTTAATGCAAATATAAAGTGTTCAAAATTGATCTAGAGGTTTTTATCACTTAGCCTCTTCATGGAAACTATAACTACAAAAGTAGTAACACCTTTGTTGGTAAATAAATGTGATTTCTTTAGTGGCATGAGCATTTGTTGCACTCACGTATACATTACATTTCTTTTAGCTGAGTGACCTACACTTCACCTTATTAGTATATTTTAATGTGTTTTCCAAAAATACATAAAATCCAGTTTGTTGAATTAAAACATGGATTTGAAAAGTTGAAAAAATAAAAGTGGAGAACAGAATCACACAAAAGCAGCCCAGCAGTGACAACACATGCTTGCAGTGGGAATCTTGATAAGCAATACAGTCCACAGTACTTACGAGATAAAAACAGGTCAGGTGCTTGGGAAAAGCACGCTATTTGGCCTTCAGATGAGATAGGAATTTCACTCAGGACCCCTAAAGAGGACACACTATGTAGTGTAAGATCATGTGTATGAAACAGCAGTCCAGGGACAAGTTCTGAACAGAAAGTTGGTGAGATGACTTTGAAGAAGTGAATAAAAGATGTTTAGTTGATAGCACAGAGGAGAACTCTGTGCTGTGTGTCTTTATAAACACATAGATGTTTCTGTATGCACACATAAATCTGCAAACACATAGCTACTCGTGTGCACATTTACACCCACACGTACACAAACACTTCTGGCAGTCTCTTTCCCTACTTTATGCCGTCCTGTTGTGAAATGCTGGAAATGAACTCACTTTTCACTTGGGGATTTCCTAGTATAGCGTAGCTCCTACAGATGGATGGGAAAAGGGAGCAAGGAACTCCTTCAGCATAGTCGGTTTCTGAGTCATTTCCATGTTACCACACACTTTTTTTTTTATATATATATAATATATCTTTATTGATTTCAGAGAGAGGAAAGGAGAGGGAGAGAGAGAGAGAGAAACATCAATGATGAGAGAGTCATTGATCGGCTGCCTCCTGCACACCCCCGACTGGGGATCGAGCCCGCAACCCAGGCATGTGCCCTGACCGGGAATCATACAGCGATCGCCTGGATCCTGGGTCTATGCTCAACCCCTGAGCCACGCCCGGCCGGGCACCACACACTGTTTGATGGTGCACATTACACCTTAAAAAGAAAAAAAAAATTATGAAACGTATTACACAACAAACTATTTCTGACATACATCTATTCTTTCTTGGCAACATTTAGAGACAAAGCTGCACATATCTCGGTTTAACATCTTTAGGGAGACTGTAGTGTGAGAAGGTTCCTGTCTGAGGATTCATTTCCTTTCCCACCCAGATCTGGACTGCCTGCAGCCAGAATTAAATGCCTGCACATCAATCTCAGCCCCCAGTTGTGTATCTAATCTCAATAAATAACAGTGTATTTAAGGGATAAGTCCAGTAGAGTAATACAAAAACCTTAACATTTTGTGGTGTTAAAATAATTGTATTCTCAGGTAATTGGGTGATTGCAAAAGTGAGAGGACTGGTATAATCCATAAGAATATTATATAGGATAAATTAGAGAAAATGTAAAAATCCAGAAATAAAATTGAATTTTGGTTTATGCAATCAATGTACTATTATGGAATCATTGAAAAGGATGATAATAACAGTTATACAGTAGGTTAGGTAAATATTTATAATGACATGTTAAGTTAAAAGCAGAAACCCAGGGTATGAAATTGTTTATGTACCCACATTACAGCTCTAAAAACATGCCAAGGTTAGAACCTGGGCAGCAGTAGCGTAAACAGTGCTAACAGTGATGTATTAGAGAGAGAGGTAGGGTGGTGGGTGATTTTTTTTTTTCCACCTCATCTCTCTGTTGTTGTTTTTTGGGTTTTTTTAAACTTTATTTTACTTTTAATGACCAGAATTTTAAAAAATGAAATCAGAGAATCTGAACTTGGTTTATTCGTTGTATCTGAATCAGTTTCCCTGTCCTGGTCCCAAATTGTAGTTGACAGTGCTGGGAAGCATTGAGTGAATGAAGAAAGTGATCTTGATCCTAACAGCCAGATCTTGAATTAAATGACCATCTTTATAGAACATTTTTTAACAAAACACTGTATTTATAATATTCAATATAATATATTATTTTGTGGCCGCATAAATCATCAACTCTCATTTATTTTAAAAAATAATTAGCCTTTTGTAACTGCCGCCAGCCAAAAATAGTTTGCATTTCCTGTGACAGCTCCTCCTGCTGGACTGGCTTGCTTTACAGTTAAGTGAGGGTAAGGCGAAAGGTGTTTAATACAGGGATTTCCATGAAGTAAGTGCTCCTTAAAAAGTCTCAGGAAACACACTCTAGAAGAGTTTAAGGAGGTAATTTATGATAGTTTGCAACTTTGAGGGGAGGTTATCTTTGCTTCACATTTCTCAACAAACAAGCATTGCATTTGCAAAAGGTAATTACAGAATCTTAACTCCATCCCTCTTACCTTGTATCTTACATGGTTCTTGTCTCCAACTTCCCAGGGTGCCGTGTTAACTCCCTCAATGGAGCACACCATGTCACTACAGCCCGCATCTATGATCAACCCTCTGGCCCAGCAGATGAGTCATCTGTCACTAGGCAACACCGGAACAGTAGGTGGCAAATTAATATCCTCTGTCTAGGCAAACAGAGGAATTAATTAATGCAGCCTGTGTCTTCCCTGTCACAGTCTCTGTGATGTCACCGATATGTCTGACCCCCTCAACACCCACCCCCACCCCACATTGCCTTCCTCGTAGTAATACTCAGATATTTCTTGATTAATTGATGAACTAAAAGTTGGTCCCCTGGGTATCTCTTCTTTAAGCACCCATACATGACTATATCTGGCCCCAATAACCAGTGTCATTCACTCACACTGGCAGATCTTGTCTCATGAATCAAAAGATGAAGGTGATTCATGGTGGTAAAGGCAGGGGATTTCTCCTCACTTATTTCTTCTATGGAATTTGGGGGCATTGAATCGTGATCTTTGTACTGAATTATTTACCTAGAGTTCAGGGGACTTAGCTAGATATTGAGTTTGAGCTGATACCACACCAGATTAACTTCCCAGGTTGATATGGGTAGTGTTTGGGTAAAACAACTGAAGACTTTTAATTCAGACTATATCTATGGTGGCTTAAAAAAAGGAGTAGTATGTTTTCCCCACTTGTATTCAAAACCAGCAGCAGCTTCTTGTGAAGTCTAAACCAGGGCCACACAAATCCAATGAGATTGACTAGAAAGCTGTCTTGCCTTTGGAAAAGGATGCCTGTCAGCATCAGGAAAGCAAGGGTCCACTTCCTGTTCTGCAGTGACCTGTTAAAGATCTAATAAGTCATTTACCCCTTGGGTCTTCACTTATGGAAACAATTCTTAATACTAGCTCAGGGGGCTGCTGGGAAATAATGAGGTCCTTTGAGGAGAGAGCTTCTAAAATAGCACATTAATGATGTTGAATTATTGAAAATGAGAAACCTTAATGATCTTCACCCATGTGCTTCTTTGTTAGGAAATCCAAAGGAAGGTGAGATTTTTACTTTGACAAATTCAAAAAGTAGAAAGCATTCACTTTGCCCTTCATATGATATATTGATGTATACTAATTAAATTTTGGGCCCATTTAAATTTCTTCTTTGAGGCTTCCAAATACTTACCATCCCATCTCAAAATTCCCCAAGTGTTCAGAACTTTGCATAGCTTTCCTGGCCCACCCTTACCATGTTGTTCTTTTCAGTACATGCCTGCAACATCAGCTATGCAAGGAGCCTATTTGCCACAGTACACACACATGCAGACGACGGCGGTTCCTGTTGAGGTTGGTACCATTCTGGCAATGAATAGTTTCAGAAATGGGTAAATTAGATGGAACTCAAAGAAAAATCAATCATTGTTCAAACATTTGCATAAAGATTTCAGTTTAAAGGGAAAATATACCTGGAGTTATTTTTAGCTTTGAATTATAATTCTCTGCATACAAGTTAGTATAGTGACACCCAGGCCACACCCCCAAGACTCCCAGAAACATTTTCTAAATTTGAAACGCATTTCATTACCCCTCAAGGCTCTGTCTTGTCTCGTATAAAATGGTGCTTACAGGCAAATTAAGATAAAGCTGAGTCTGTAATCCTAGTACCAAAGATTATATCAATCATATTAATTACAATTAGTTATAACTAAGATACTTGAAAAAACTGATGTTTCAAAACTTTAACAGAGATGAGGAACAAACCGTACCTGTTTTTATAGAGGCTGTTTTTATAGCTAAATAGCTCTTAGTTCTTGTTATGGAAGGTACTAATATATTGATATGAAAGAAGTCTGACATTTGAATTAAGATTTGAATTAAGCTTGGACAAAATAGCATTTTTCCAACAAAATACCCTTAAAGTTCCAAGGAAATTCACCAACCCAATCAGTCCCATTCTCCTCCACGCAGATCCCATAGGTTCCAATTTCCGAAGCAGCCCTAGGACAGTGGCTGGATATTGGGGAGGTGTGGGGGGTGGTTCTTGTTTTGTTTGCTTCTGATTGGTTTAAATTTATGCAATTATTGACAGTCATAGTTACCGAACCCAAAATCTCTTATCTGCAATTCTGAAACACACAAAAAACATAAAAATAAAAATTCTCCTTGTAACTACTTTAGCAAATAACTTGACCTGCAGCAAAACTGAACCCAAACTGATGCCAGACAAAAATCTTTACCCCACTTCCTGTGCATATTCATGTCTTTCAGTGCAAACTTGTTAATATGATTGAGTATGAGGTACAGCCCTAAACCGCACTGGGTATATTCAGTGAGATACTGCATATGCATACCGTTATTTCAGATCTTAAAATATGAAAACATTGAACTCCAAGTCACATCTGGCCCCAAGGGATAAGAGATTTGTTTGATAAATTATAGCTTGGTTTGAAGATATAACTCATAAATGTTGGGGTGGGAGGTTCTTTGGGTCTCTTCAGACATTTGAACTTCCTAGGGAAATCATTCACTTTGAAAGTTCTACATGACCTTAAGAAAATCGCTTTAAAAAAAAAAAAGTCACGTTTAAAGATTGTTTTTTTTGGAAGATGTTGGACTCAATCAGACCTGGGTAGCAGAGTTTGGATCTTATCACTCACATGTCTCATCTGTTCTTTGTTGTAGGAGGCGAGTGGTCAGCAGCAGGTGGCTGTAGAGACGTCTAATGACCATTCTCCATATACCTTTCAACCCAATAAGTAACTGTGAGGTATGAGGGAAAGGTCTCCGTAATTGTAGGGCTCAGGCCAAGAAAAGTCTATGGTTCTTTTATCAAAATGGTACTTAGAATAACTCAGATTGTGTCACCCTGCTGTGATCATTGCCAAGGAATCCAGTGTTAATTGAAATGTTAAAATCCGTGATTTTGTGGATTTGCAGATTAAGTATTCTGTCCAAAAGGGGCTTATATTGAAGTCAAATGTATATTTACTCTCCCTTCTCTCCCCAAAAATCTGTAAAATATTAAAAAACACCATATACCAAACTTGTCCTACAGAACATGTATTTTACATTGATCTTACTTTATTGTTCACAAACTCATGGAAATATAGCATAAGAGTTTGCATAATCTAGCTTTGCAAGGTTAGCAGTATCTTGACTTAGGAGTTTAATGTCAGTATCCTTAGATTGAGAGGTTGTATTCCCAACTCTCACTTGAACCACAAATCTCAAAACTTTTACTTTAACAGATTGCAGTAATACAGCTGTGCGGAACTTGAGTTTCTCATTGCTCTGGCGAAAGTACGTTGCAGGTCCCAGGTTTCAAAGGTGGACTAGAAGTGTAGAAAGTTCCAGAGTTTGCATTTATTGGTCTCCCACCAGTGATGAGCACAGCCTTTTTAAGCACCTTCATCTTTAAAACAAGAAAGATTGCAAAGCTCTGTGGTGTATTATACTAAATGTACAAAATCGTTTGTCTTTTATTTTTCTCTTCCAGGTGTACAGAAGGGTGTTCTTACATGAAGAAGGGTGTGAAGGCTGAACAATCATGGATTTTTCTGATCAATTGTGCTTTAGGAAATTATTGACAGTTTTGCACAGGTTCTTGAAAACGTTATTTATAATGAAATCAACTAAAACTATTTTTGCTATAAGTTCTATAAGGTGCATAAAACCCTTAAATTCATCTAGTAGCTGTTCCCCTGAACAGGTTTATTTTAGTAAAAAAAAACTAAAAAAAAAACAACAAAAAACAAAAACAAAACAAAAGATTTTTATCAAATGTTACAATGCAAAAAAAGAAGAAAAAAAAAGAAAAAAAAACAAGGGAAAAAAAAAAAGAAAACTTCAATTTTCTGGGTATGCACAAAGACCATGAAGACTTATCCAAGTGCATGGCCGGATTTTTGTGGTTTTGTTCATTTTGTGTTTAATTTGTGTTTTTTTCTAGCTGTATGAAATGGGCTTTCTGACGTTTAACTAGTCCGACTCCACCCATGGTGTTCTGTGCTTGCAGTGCGAGTGTTGCTGTAATTCAGTGTTGCCGTCCGTGTCTCTCTCCTTCGCTTTCCGTTTCTCTTCCAGCGTAGTGTGAAGTGTCTTATCTTTTTCTATGAATTCCAATTTGCCTTAACTCTTTTGATGCTGTAGCTGTTTCAGTAAAAGTTAGTTCAAACTAATGATGTAGAATGCTTTGACCAAATGAGCTGGTCTATTATGCCTTGTAAAACAGCAGCATAGGGCTTTTAAAAGGTAGTCAATAAAAGTTGCTGAAATTTTGGCTTTTTTAAATACGTAGTAGGTGTTTTTAATGATTTTTCACATAATGTGTAAGGTAGTGAAATGCAAGAAGGGAAAAAACGTTTTGTGTGAAACACATTTTCTGACTGGGGAACTTTTAATAGGGTAAATTGTTTGTAAGGCTGTACGCCAACAGTTTCCTCTGATAGTTTGACTGATTTAGGATATCTGCTGTATGATGCAATGTAAAGTCTTTTTTGCCTTTTTTCAGGAGATAAAAAAAACAAACCTAACTTGATGTTCTAGATTTAGTGTAGGTAGTGTTGGGACTGGGGGTGGGGGGCGGGGGAGGGGTGTCCCCAATGTTCTGTCCTTCCTTTATACTAATGATAGTGCTTTAGAATGCGAATTAGGCCTGAGATCTGGCAAACCGAAAAATGTTGCTATTGCAATTAAATGGCAAAAGCTAAAAGTAAGGATTTGTCTTCAAAACGAGCTGAGATATGGATAGAAGCAAAATGATTGGCTACTAGCTCTCTCTCTCTCTCTCTCTATTACGTAAATTTGAGAAATAAACATTACTTGGCACTTTTAAAGGTAACTTCACCAAAGACCGAAGAGCCAGTAACCAGTAGCTCCACCTTGTCTCAGCATCACATCTTCTGTGCTCTTTATTTTTGCCGGACCAGTTTGCGGTTAGGAGAATGTGCCTTTTTTGTACCTTTGCATTTAGGTTTTATAATTTTAATTGATGTATGGACACACACAAACAAAAAAGCATGAAGGAAGATTTGGATCCAAGCAGTGCCACACTTTACATCATCACTACAAGTGTTAAGTGTAAAGAAAAACCAGTTTTGAAACTATGAAATTCCTGATTCATAAATACACAGTTATTTCTACTTTAGTACATATAAGATGATTCACTGTTATTAATGCTCTTTTATTAAGATAATTGCATACGTTTGAAAAGCAACGGTAAATTAAGTTGTCTTCCAAAACTGTGTACTTGTCTGGTCAACTGTGTGTGATCAGTTATCTACCTCAGAGTCTATTTTCTTTTGTGCTGGGACAGGTTGCTGGCCCTCCCTGTTTCCACAGACCAAATCCTCCTAGCTCAGGAGCTAGGGCTAAGCAGTTATTTCTTTCGAGTATTTTTTAGTTCTTAAATTTTATGCTTGTATTTGATTATAGATGTCAGTGACATTTCATAGTTTCAAAAGTCCTTGCTGCTCTGAGAAGTGTAGATTCTATTGAAAATTACGTAGTCATAAGAGAAATGTGTTTTTGTTTTTGTTTTTGTTTCCTTTTTTAAAGTTGTGGTATTATTGGTTCTATGCTCCCTGGAATATTACTGCTTTGTGAAAGTCCAGACTGAACGCAGCGCCCTCTGTGTACCTAGTACATTTATAAACCTGGGTCTCTCACTACTTGATATTTTTGCATTAGTTAAGACAGAAATTTGATAGTTCAGTTAGAGGGGAGGGCAAATCTGCTGCTAGAAATGTCTGAACTAAGTGCCATACTCGTCTGGGTAAGATTTGGGAAACATAACCTCTGTACATAAAAAAAAAAAAAAAGTCAGTTAAACATCACATAGTAGACAGCCATTAAATTATAAAAAAATTAATTTATGAAGAAAGACCTTTTGTACAGATTGAAAAAAAAGATTTTCATAGAGATATCTATATGATCAAGAGAGTTAATTTTTTATTTTGTTTTACTAGTGCCACAAACTTGCCAGTGGTAACTTATTTGTCCGGTTCAAGATAACTCTGTAGTTTTCTTTCCTAGGACTTGTTGTTAAACGCCAAAAGACATTTTTGAACTGTACATTTGATCAGATTGTTAGCTTTTTCTGTTTTATTTCTTTTGAGAACCTTTGAATAAAAAACATCTGAAATTTTATTTTTCCTGTCAATTTTTTTAAGTAGATTAAATGTGTGTCAGAATTTTATCTGACCTTTCTTGAGCTCAGTAGATTGGTTAGAAACATTATTTCAGGTTCAATATGTACTTGAAACGCATTTTCTTAAAAAGAATTGTAAAAACCTTTCCATGCCCTTCTTTTTGGTTATTTAAATCTGTGTACAGGGACCAGAGATATCAACCATTAGCTCCCCACATTTCATCTCAACAAAAGCACACCTTTGGTCTGTTGTTAAAGGGCCCCCTCCCTCCTCCTTCCTTCCTGCTGCCCTTTGACTATGGCACTGTTTGTCATTACCCAGCAAGGAGGACAATAAAAACTGTGTCCCATCAAGCAAGCACACAGGTAAGGATTTCAAGATGATTTTATCCATGCCTTGATGACTGTGGGCCTCCTTGGTGACCTCATTTGGCTGTTCCCAGTAGGAGGCTGTGGCGCAGCATTCAAGGGGGAGAGAGCTCTCTCCCATTCTCTGTTTTATGGGAAGCACTTAGTACAGGAAATCGACTCCTTTTACCCAAGGCAGATTAAGTGTTTTAGTGTAGCTGTACAGTATTCATTTTCTCTGTCATGGTGGTGAAAGGAGTGGGCAAGAAAAATATCATCCCCTCCATTTGTGTGCGCCTCCCCTGCAATGCGGGTGGTGTGGAATGTGAACTAGATACGCAGGGTTTAGAGCACTGCCCTTGCTCTGGCAAGGGGAGCCTGGCACTCAGTGCCTTACTCAGAAAGGGACACACGGTCCTCTGATGATAACCAGTGCTTCAGGGGGAAAGTTGGGGCAGGAGGGAAGTGTGGCCTCATTTTCTGTCCCAGCCTCAGTCCCAGTGCTCCTCCATATGACCAACAACCAAAGCACCTTGGGTTTTGTTTACCGTATTTTTGTTCTCATATTTTAAGAAGGCTTTCTGTCACTGGCGTCCTGGGACACCCAGTGACTGCCTTTACATAGAAACGAATAAACACTTATTCAAGATCACCTTTCTATGCAAAAGAGATGGCCTGGCCAGGCGTGGCTCAGCTTTTGAGCATCGACTTTGGATCCAGGAGATTGCAGTTCGATCCCAGTCAGGGCACATGCCTGGGTTGTGGGCTCGATCCCCAGTTGGGGGCGTGCAGGAGGCAGCTGATCAATGATGACTCATCACTGATGTTTCTATCCCTCTCTCCCTCTCTCCGAAATCAATAAAGATATTTTTTTAAAATAAAAAAGAAATAAGCAAATCAAAATGAGGATGGTTCAGCCCTGGCCAGTGTGCTCAGAGGTCCAGGCACGAGTCAGGGGCCTGTGCCTGGGTTGCAGGTTCGATCCTGGCCCTGGATGGCACATGTGGGGAACAACCAATCAGTCTTTCTCACATCAATGTTTCTCTGCCTCTCTGCCCCATTCCTTCCCTCCCTTCCTCTCTTATCTAAAAATCATCAGAAAAAATATCCTCTGGTGAAGATTAACAAAATAAAGTGATGATAGTTCAGGAAGAGCTGTCCCTCGAATGAAAAGAGGAACTGCAGTGCCTTTGGGGATAAGCACCTTGCTAAAAGGCCATGGCTGCTCGGGTCACCCTCGGGGCCAGGATTTTCCCTGCGTCTGAGATGGGCCGGGACCAGCCTCCGAGGTGGAGGCAAGAAGCTCTGGCAGTTGCTCCCGGACATCCCTGTTTCCCTCTCTATCAACTAGGAAGGGGGGGGG